GAACACGGAGGCTGTGTGGCCCAAGCTGAGGCTTACTCTGCAGGAGCCAGGTGCTAAGATGAGCCCTGACACTGCATTGGCCCACCCTGGGCCCTGACCCCTGTTTAATTCTGCAGGATACCATGAAGCTTCCGGGTGTGATGCCAGCTCTGGTCCTCAAAGGTAGGTGGACTGGGAGTAGGGGTAGGGGCCCTGGGGAGCCACTAAGCAGGACCGTGGAGCTGGCAGGAGTGGTGCATGCTAGCACAAAGGCATGAGAGTCCAGCAGCACTGCTGTGTTCTGGAGCCTCAATGTCTTGTGTTTCCAGTGAGTCTCTGTGGATGCCTCCTTTGACTGCCCACCCATCATCTCAGAAACCTTCAGTGGATACCTGCTTGTCCAGAACCGTCAGCTCAAATCCTTTGCTTGGCCCTCCATACCCCGCCCCACCCTCTAGCAGTCATCCCTGGCTTCCCATTTTCCTCACTCTGGCTGTCTGGCCTGGTCCCAGCCTGGGGCTCCCCTCTTCTGCCCAGCCCTCTCATTGGCTGAGAGCCCCCAGGTCCTCAGTGGGTTTCTCCTAGCACACCCCTCCCTTCACTCCTGCCATTACCTGCCTTTCGTACATACCTTCGGCTCTCCAGGGCCTGGGTGGCTGACCAAGCAATCAGTGACTAGCCTACAACCTGCCTAACAGACTATTGTCATACAGATTGGCTGACTGACCACCCACCCGTCTGGATCCCTCCTGATTTTCATCACCAGGGAATATGGAGGGTGTGGCTTACAAAATCCTTCCCCAGGGGATGTCATGGGGAAACCAATCACTTGACACGCACACCCCATCCCCAGTCCCCTCCACCCTCCAGAGGCCTCAGTGGTTCTCCTGCCCCAGTCTGCCCCAATTCTGAGCTACCTGAGCCCCTGTCTCCCATACCCCTCCCATGCAGAGCCACCTCTGAGCTTTGGAAGAACTTGGGCAGCTGAGGGCAGCTGCAGGAAAGAGGCTCAGAAAGTGACCTGGGAAGTAATGCAGGAACTGGAGTCCTGGGAATTGCTTCCCGAGGATTTCCTGACTCCTTCTCGTGCCTGCAGCTGTAACACAGCACTGCTGAAGGACTCAGAGGCTGGGGGTCTAAAGGGATGAGACAGGAGGCCAGAAGGCGTCCCTGGCAGTGAGTGAGCAGGTCCCAGAATCACAGGTGGAGGGTTCCAGTCTATGTTGGATAAAGGAGGTGTGTTCTTCAAGGATTCGGGGGCTGTGCATCCATGGCCTCCTCCAGGGGCAGCTCTGGGAGAGGTGCTGAGGCCCCTGTGCCTTGACATCTGCTACTTCCTCTGCCAAAGGCCAGTTGCTGTTGCTGCCCCTGCTGTTGCTGCTGGGACCACAAGCCTCTCAGGGACTGGTCATCATACCCCCGGAGCCAGAGCTTGTCCTCAATGTCTCCAGCACCTTGGTTCTGACCTGCTTGGGTTCAGCTCCTGTGGTGTGGGAACGTATATCCCAGGAGTTCCTGCAGGAAATGGCTGAAACACAGAACGGCACCTTCTACAGCATACTGACACTGGCCAATGTCACTGGGCTAGACACAGGGGAATACGTTTGCACCTATAATGGCTCCCATGGGCTAGAGCTCAGTGAGCAGAAACGGATCTACATCTTTGTGCCAGGTAAGGGCCCCCAAACTGTGAGCCCACTCGCTTACCCCTCTTCTTGACTGAGGGCACTGGGGGAAGCTCAGGGAGTGCTTTAGAGACATTGTGAAATGTAGCCATCTTAGAAACACAGACAAGTCATGGAATCCAGCTTGTGTTTTCATTCCCATCCCTTGGTCTGGATATCTATCTGCTCCCTGCCAGCCCACCCCATTCCTGCCTCCCAAGAACTCTGTATTCTCAGCTAGTTCCAATCTGCTCCCTCTCGGCCCCCACGTCCCATCTTCCCTATTCTCCAAGCTCCAAGTACCAGCTGTGCCTCAACTTGTGGCTTGTCTTCTTTCTCACCATGGCACTGTCAGTGTCAAATGTTAGACCTGGAAGGACCTCTGAAAGCATCTGTCTTAGTCCGGTTTTGCTGCTATACCAGAATATCTGAGACTGGGTAATATACAATGAACAAAAATTTATTGGCTCACAGTTCTGGAGGCTGGGAAGTCTAAGATCAAGGGGGTGTCTGGCCTGGGACTTCTTGCTGCATAATTCCATTATGCAGAAAGGCAAGAGAGCAAGAGAGGGCAAGAGGGGGCCGAACTTACCCTATTGCAATGGCACCAATCCCACCCATGAGGTTGGAACTCTCAGGGCCTAACACCTCTTAAAGGTCCCCCCTGGTAATACTGTTACAATGACAATTAAATTTCAATGTGAGTTTTGGAGGGAACATTCAAACCACAGGAGCATCCTTATTCTGTAATAAGGAGATTGAGGACC